TTTTTAATAATAATATAAACTTTGGATTACACCTGACTATTACAACATTTAGGGGGGATAATTGTGAACAAAATAAAAAAAATTGTAACCTGTTAAACTGGTTTCCCACAACATATGTCGTCATGCAATTGTTTAAATATTAATTTAGAATTTTAATTTTTGATAAAAATTGTTCTTTTTATATCATTTGAGTAACTTCTAATTAAGTTATGTAATTTAATTCTTAAGGAAAAAAAAAAAAGAAACCCACCAAGCCACCAATTCCCCACCATATTGCCACCTCCTCTCCCCCTTCCCCAGTGGCAACCCTCCTTGACGACGGTATGACCGACATTCAACTCGTCCACCACCTCATCGCCATCAATCAATCCCAACACCGACAAGCATCAAGAAATTGCGGCCATTAGATTAATTGAATCAATCAAATTGGAGCGTTTGGCGAGGCTGTTGTTCGATTTGGAGCATTTAATGTGTGTGGCTATTCAAATTAGAGCATTTGAAAAATGTGGTTGGGTGGTGATGTGTGTTGATGTTCGGAGTAGTGTTTGATATGGGCGGTGATATGTATGGTTTAATGTGTGTCACTAGGCAGTGATGGTAGGGGAAAAGCAGAGGAGTTGGTTGGTGTGGTGGCGACTTGTGGCTGCAATAGGTGAAGTGGGGTAGGGTAATTGTGTTGTTATGTGAAGGAAGCAAGGGAAGAAGGTGCGACAGGGGAAGCGGGAGGCGAAGAATAAAAACAACCTACTTCAACATCACCTAGGGCCACCATGTCCGTTGCGCTGAGGAAGATAACGCCGTCAATCATAAAAATGACTCGTCATTGATTGCGTTGCTGTAGACATCTACCTTTAGCCTCCCGTCCTGACTAAAAGTGCTATGACGATAAATAAAACCATATTTGTGTTGGACCAACATGGAAAATACTTACGGACTACTGATTAAGTCACAAGAATATAAAATAACTAGCCTGACAAAAAAAAGAACTAAAGTCCAATTAACTAAGCCCGATCAATAATTAGGCTTAACCCTAAAGTTAAAACCTAATTTTGATGCACTTGGGGGCGCCTAGGTTAAAAACTGAAGCTACCGCTAGAATCCATGTGCATCTCAACAAGTCGCGCTGCGCAACTCACAAGTTTGCGCGTGACAACTAGCGCAATCTCCAGTGATGCGCTCACGGAAGATTCAGAATTTTGTGGAAATAGTGAATCGGATCTTACCATAATACTGCGCACATGAAAATTAGTTGCGCTGCCAGTGCATCTCACTCACTTGCAAGCAGCAAGCGCGTGCGACCCTTTAAGATGTTGGCGCCACCTGTTGTGGCAGAATGCTCAAAACCCTTAACACACTCATTTCATATTAACAGGGGCTTAATCTGAAGCTTAAACAGATAGAAATGAACACGAAGCACTGGTAGAAACTTTATGAACTTATGTACTATCAACCCTCTTGTCGACACTCACCTCTTTTATTACTTGTCCTTACGGTGGTAGTTCTCGAACAAAGGACTCCATAAGTGTTATAAACGAAGATCTAGCAATGAAAAGTGGTTATATTCACGAGAATTTAGATAAATTACCCTTTTTTATTGTTTAAAACAACTTTAATTAATTAGTTATTGCTGTTTAATCATATTAAATAAACTTTTAATTAATTGATTTCACATAGTATTCTTGCGTTAATTAAAGATTAGAATTGGAATAATTAATCATTGTTTTATCACCTAAGCAAAGACGTATCTTGTTTATTGTTCCTTTTCATGAATTTGAATTAAAAAGAATAATGACTTTTGTAACGTAATTCCTATGTGATTAATGCATGTAAATAAAATAAACTAATTTAGTTTTAGGTTTCAAATTGCATATATTGTTTGGTGATGAAATTGTGAAAAAAAGAAAGAGCTAGTAGAGGCAGCACTACGGCTAAAATAGCAATTCCTCCCTAAAAGGAACGCTATTTTAGTACTCTCGCTCCCGAACTCATTTCTGTTATAAGTAGACCAATTTGGGCATCGGTAAACTTATGATTCATGCTAAATATCCCTTGAACTCTACTTGGGAGAAAGGCATGAATGAGATTTATGAGTTTTCCTAAAACTTATTGGCGACTCCTTACTAGTTTCATACAAAAAAAACGTAATGATTGGATCAGTTCTAATTAAAGGTCTCCCAAACAGTCAGGAATTCAAATCCTAATACACCTTCAAAAGTGTAAGGTTCTAGACTTTTAAAGGGCCATGGGCATAAAGGAGAAGGATCCCCAACGATGGGCACACTCTCCTTACAGTGGCAACTCCACTAGTGACTTAGAGGTTACAAGATTATTTTTTAGTTATAGTCCAAGGTTTCCAACACTAGGTTGCCTATGGGTTGGAACGGGAACTAACTTGGATAATCTCTAGTTAGAGAGCGAGACTTGAATGCATAATATTTTCTTTTTTCACAAATGTAAAAACCAAACTAGCAATATTACATCATGCATAATCATAACACACTATAACTCTTGGGCATTGGCACATTGACTAGGGGTCGCCAACACTAGGCTTCTATCCCGAAATAAATAACAATCATCCCACCCATATAGCCAACTAAATGTTGGGAGGATAATGGCAAGAGTGAAAACGTTGAGTGATTGATTTGTGCATTGTTTCTTAAGATATGGTACCTTTGGACACCCAAGCTTCGACGTTAGAAAGGCATTATGGAGATCAACGGCTTATTGTATGCTTACATGATTATATGACTATTTGTGATGTGTTTAGGATAGCTTTTAGTTTTGGTTTAGGATCCCAATTGCAAAGTTGTCCCTTCGTAATTTTGAGTCACATTCGAAGGGTATCATAAAATGAAAATTATAAAAAAAATTCGTAAAAAAAAAATGGAAAAACAAAAAGAAAAAGAAAAAGAGAAAACAAACAAACTACTCGAAAAAAAAAAGCACAAGCTCGCTAGGTTGCGTGACCATAACCAGTGCAAGTACCAGGGTTGTGTGCATCATCCACGCGCAACCTAGTTTCTTCCGCACACCTCTTGTTACGAAATCATTTTGATTCCTCGAGAACAATGGGCTCGTACAAACAATATCATTATTATTGAATTGTTGAAAAATGATGTTATCCGTTCTAATGTATTTTGCGTCTTTCTTTTTTTTTTCTCCCTTTCGTTTCAAAACAAGCGTATTGATTTTCTTAACTCTTCGTATTTCCTTTAGGGCTGGTTTCCAAGCTTGGAAATGAAGACTCTCGGGCGCTCACATTCTATGTTTACCATCAAACAATTCACCCCTTTCAAACCATTTCCCTTCGACAACTCACTCTAGTCCAATAACGATGTAACACCTCCAAATCTCCCTCTACATAAATACTAGTATATTACATATAATTATACCGTAAAGATAGACTTGGGCGTATTACCGCCGCGTGATTACGCAAGGCTACTCAAAATACTAAACTCAACAACAAAACTTGCAGCGTAAACTCAACTTTCTTTTATTAATGCTTATAAAAATAGTAACATTGTTATGAGTACTTAAAATAAAGACAAAACCAACATTCCTAAACTAGGTAAAGAAAATCCCGGGACTCTCATATGCTCATTCATGACTCCACCTGAAAATAGTTAACACTGCTTACCATTAACGGTAAACAAGGAAAACTAAAACAAATAAGAAATACGGATTAGCAAATTATGCTAAGTACGATAAGTGCAAGATAGTGTAAACTCTATTTATTTGTAAACATGATTTTGAAATCAATTCTAATAATTAATCCAATAATTTCAAACACATTATTCCAAAACCGACTCCAATGATTCAATATTCAAAATACTAGTTGATACAAACAATTTTTTTTATTAAGAACCAACTCATTTTAATCCAATTCCTCACCCAAGTGTGCACACCCCCAAGCTAGTCTCCTTATATTACAAGGCTATTCTTGAGGAAAGACTTGGTCATACAAAGTCCAAGGCCTTATCAATAAACCAAATCTGCATAGTTGGATTACTAACATGCTTATAAAGCATTAATAATAATAATTTAATGGTTCAATAAATCTTTTTAATATCCAATAATTCCAATATAGTTCAAAATCCTTTTTAATTAATTCCACATGCTTTCAAAATCAAACCTTGTAAATAAATACTTGAGAATAAAATCTCAAATTAATAAATTTTCAAAATCAACAACTCTTCCTTGAAAAACCTTTATTTAAATTCAACAAACCTTTTAAAATCAATTCCTTTATTTAAACACGACAAGTAATCCAACCATTCAAAACATGATTTAAAAATCAATCATTTAAAATACTTTTATTAAAATCAATACCTTCAAACATAATTTATTTCAAAGTCATAATTCAAATCAATTTAATTCAATCACCAATCAAATCATGTAAAACATGTCATTCAAACCAATCACTTTCAAAGGAATCTAGCCACCTAAACGTATCTTGATCCTTGCTAGAAAAACCACACAAAGAGAACCTCAAGAACCTTGATCGAACACACCCTACAAATAAATATAACCTTAATCAATATAAGGTTAACAAATAATTAAAAATCCCCAACCATATGTGCATGAACCTTTTAAATTAATTTCTCATAAACATCATTAAAAATCTAATTTTATATAATTAAAACTACTCATAATATTTTTTTATAAATCCCCCAAAATAATAATAATAATAATCATAATAATAATAATAATAATAATAATAATAATAATAATAATAATAATAATAATTGAATAAGAAAAGAGAATAAGAAAAGATAAGAAACCAAGGAAAATAGAAGAATTGGATTTGCATTGGAAAGAATAGGCAGAACTTGCAGAGGCTATACCTCCTTTGATATAACTCTGAATTGGGTTATTCTTGAGCCTAACCTCAAGGAATTATTGAGAGCAACAATCTTCTGTGAAACGTCAATACCTCAAAAAGGACAAAAAGTGCCCGAAAATTGGCTTCAAAGATAAACGGGATGATTTGTGTAAAATAGGAGAAGAAAAGAAGAGAATTGGTGTGAAGAATGTGAGAGGTGTTTCGGGTGTTTTTTGGATTTCCTTGGATACTGGTCACGCTCTCCTGGCAACGAGACGGTCCAACCTGCAAAACAACGAATATTCCGGTTGATGGAATATTCGCCTCCGACGATCAAGTTAGTGATCGGAACGGAAAAGGCTAGAGAGAGAAAGTAGAGAGAAGTTAGAGCTATTTAATGCCCTTTTGTTGTAATGTCTTAATCCACCCCTCCATCATAAATGATTGGGGTATTTATAGGGGTGTGACTCGTGCCCCTTTCTAGGGTTTGTTCCCTAGAACTGCGTGACGTGATTGGCTGCGCAATCAGTGAATGCCACGTGCTACTTTGCGGGCGCCGATTTGTGGCTTTCATTGATATCTCTCGGGATTTGGGCCCTGACGTTGTTAGGCCTCTTTTTGCGTGCTGATTTAAGGGGAACATATGCCCTAAACACGGGGCATCTTCTCGTGACGACACGTGACACCCTCTAACTAGGCCACGTGTCGCTACGAGATTGGCCTGAAACTTTGGGTGCTCTTGAGCTGAATGCGTGGCATCTTCCCGTGGTGACACGTGTCACCCTATAACTGGGCCACGTGTCACTACGGGACTGGTCCACGTATATGGGGTATTTTTACCCTCAACATTTTCCCCTCAGAGGGGATGCCTCGTACGCATATAGGCCGACTCCTCTGACCTCGAATAGCCTTGGGGCGTACAAGTGTATTAGGGTTTTGACAGATTTCTGTCCGCCTGATAATTTAGAGTGAACGCCTATCTATACGAATGGCGCGGACAACGGTAGGCCGTCTCGCTTTTGGGAGTTGCGTCCGTCTTGCCATCGCGGAGGGAGCTTTAGCTCCGTCAGCTTATTTTTGGACGTGCCGTTTATTAGGTCGTCTTCTTTTTTGCCTATTCTAACGGTGTTTCTCTTTGCCCTCTAAAATTCTAGGTTAAATTTTCAAATTATAACCGTTCAATTTTGTTAGGCGGGAAAGATGAATTTACCGTCCTACCCCAATAAATTTGGCCTATATATATGAGGTTTGACCTAATTTTCACACTTTGGAACTTTGCATTTTCTAGAGAGAAATCAGAGCTTCTATAGAGAGAAAGTGCCATTTTCCTTGAATCTTCAAGAGCTCCGCCGTGCGTTTGAGTTTTCCGGGCACATTCTTTGAGTTTTCCGGTCAACCTTCAAGACTTTCAAGTTTTCTACACGTAAAGAGGTAGGCCTCCTGTTTTCTTTTCCTTGCATTTTTTATTTCTTTATTCTTCATTTAAAATCTGGCTCAACACTCGGCTTCGTGCGTTTCTCCTCATGAGGCCGGCCGTTTGCCTGGGATTGAGGAGTCTAGAGTGGACGGAGACGAGTTGTCTCCTTCGTGGAGTGAGTCCATTTCTAGTGCGTACCAACTCACTTCCACCCATTCTTCTCTGTCCCTGAAGTCGAACATGGCAAGAACGATGCAGACGTACGATCGTCACGCGGCCAGAAATCCAGACGGTAGTCTGGTGAACCCTAGGCCTCCTTATGACCCTAACAACCCTAACTTAGAAACGCCTTCTACTACTCCTACGACCGCTTCCACAGGAACTCACTGCTCGGCCGTGGAAGTAACTTCTTCTTTTGAGAAGCGCCAAAGAACTCAGGGCGCTTCTGCTGCGGGGGGAACGTCCGGGCAAACTCCGGGATTAATGTTCCCCCAATATGCCAACTCGGTCATAGATGGGGCCAAGTTGCTACTCTGTGAAGGGCCTCCTTCTTCTTCTCGGGCGGACGCTGATCCGTCCGTCCCCACTCCCTCAGAACTCTATCTCCGATATGGCAGGTCGGACAGGCCAAGGACTAGGGTCTTAATTAACGAACCGTCCGACCTGCCTCCTCGCAGAGCTCCTCCTACAGGAATTCAGGCGGCCAGGGCCAAGGACAAGGGCAAAAGGCCCCTAATTCATGAAGACACCACCTCTTCCTGGGGCGACCGTAGTTCTAGGAGCCGCAGCTCAGCAGAAGCAACCGATCTGGATAGAGTGTTGTCCTCTGAGTTTGGGAGTGTTCCTAAACAAGAGGAGGATGAGGTTGAGAAAAAGACCGAGGATGAAGCGGCGGCCGTTGAGGGGTGAAGCGGCGGCCGCTGAGGGCGAAGAGGCGGTTGCTGAGGGCGAAGAGGCGGCTGAGGAGGATGTTTCCAACATTGACAACTTCAAGGATCCGTTCGCCTGCACAGTGGGTAGCACAGCCTTGGGCTACCTTAACTACAAATTTGAGACGTACAAGGCATTCCTCCACCTTGGGGAGGGATTCGAGATTCAGCCTCCAAGGAAGTCACGCGCTTTGGCTTCTTGGGAGGAAGAGAGGCTGCGCCAAAGGTCCTTTAGTGTCTATAGGGCGACCCTAGATGTCGGACTGCGCTTCCCCCTCCACCCTTTCGTCCGCACCATCCTGGACGAATACGACATTGCCCTCTTCCAGCTGATGTCAAACAGCTGGTTGAACATTTTTGGGTATTTGGTGACGTGCATCAGCAAAGGCTTCAAGCCGGACTTTGCAGTCTTCTGTGAGATGCACTCACTAACCAAGCTCGACAAGGATACTGACGGCTGGTTCATTCTGAGCTCCACCAGAGACTACATGATGGTGGTTGACCGCGTCTCAAAATGGCGCGACTGGAAGCATCAATTCTACCGCATCAAGACCAAAGATGTTGAATTTAACTTGCGGATGAATCAGTTCAATGCTGAACCAATTCAGCTTGGACGCGGGGACCTCAAGCCTGATAAACCACCCGTCCACCCCAGCCAAGAGTACCAGCTTGAGTATTTCAAGGTCAAGAGGGTGAAAAGGAACAGCAAAACTGAGCGCGTTCCAAGTAACTAGGTCCCTTTATCCAGCTGGCTTCGGGATCCCACGTTTATGTCCGCCTATGGCCTGTACAAGAAATTGCCCCAAGGTGGACGCATGGACACATATTCTTACACATACGTAGGTATTTGAATTTGAAGGATTTTCTAACAATTTTTCCTTTTCTTTTTCAGCTGAGGCGTACAAGATGCTTGACCCAAAGCAGAAAGGGGATGTAAACATGTCAAAGATTGACTTGGCCCGCTAAAAGGCTCGTCGGAAGATGTACGAGCAATCTAAAGAAGTAAGTATCCATTTCCATTTCTTCTTTTCGTCCGTGTAGGCATTACGGAAGGGATCTTCTTCTTAACTAGACACGGCCAATCAATTGTATTATCTTGCTCTCTTTTCGATAACTTTTGCCTCTTCAGCTGTCAACTCCGATCCCTAGGTCCAAACGGAAGCAGTTTTCCCCTGCATCCAAGACAGACAAGGACGGTAAGGCGTCCAAGCAAAGGAAGACGGTCGCATCCAAGACTTCCACTACCGCGGCCAAGACCACGTCGCGGACTGACTCTAAGCAGTCCAAAGGAGGACAACCCCGGCTGAGTGATAGTGGGGCCTCCAAGTCCATAGATCCGGCCGGGTCATGACAAGTCCGAGAAATTGGACTATAGGGGGAATTTGACCTCGGCAAAACCGACCGGGCCAGAAGTGACTCCGCCCGAACAAAGAGTCAACGAATCTGATTCGCTCGAAGCCTCTCAGTCGGCCGGCGATAAGCCTGACCGGATGGGGGAGAAGGGTGACGAGCCTGCGCCGCCCCCGTCATTCACTTTCAATCTTCCTACCCCTCCAAGATTCTTTGACGGTCAGTCCGAGTAACTTTGAATTCTCTACTTCGCTTTTTTCAAGTCCGATTAAACCTGAGCTAAAATTTTATTTTTTGCGCCCTTACACAGACATTGCAGAAGAGCTTCACATGAAGATGCCCGGCCAATCCCTCACGGGCGCGGACAGGAAGGCTATGAGGGAGGCCATGGTCAGGGCGGTCCCTGCCGAGCAGCGAGACAAGCTGTGGGGGATCCATGAGGGCTTCCTTGGCCCAATGATCAACTGCAGTGCCGAGGTAATTTCTCTCTCAAATGCCACACTTAGTCAATTTTTCATTCTTATTTTGCTAACATGTTTTCCCTGTACGCAGCTCTTCCTGCGGTTGAATGCCTTCCTTGAATGGAAGGACAAGGAGAATGAGAGGTTGAAGCATGCCTGGGCCCAGATTCAGAAGACCCAAGATGCCATTACTGGGGAAACGGCCGTCTAGCGCCGGTATTTCGAAACCCAAATCAACGCGCTGTCCGACAAGGCGGCGCGGACAGGCTGATGATTTTGTGAAGCTGGACCAGGCCCTGGAGCAAGAGTCCGTGGCCAGAGATGCCATGAGACAGGAGAGGGATCAGGCCCTCCTGGACGGCCACCGCTGGAGGGAAGGATTTGAGGCCTCCGAGAAGCTCAGAAGTGATGTGGCCTTGGCCCAAAAACACTTGAAGGAGGCCTTGGACGAGGCGAACATTCTCAAGGCCGAGGTGGAAAGTTTAAAGAAGTCCGTTGAGGACTTAACTCTCCAGCTGCAGACACCTCGGGCCCCTAGTGCGGATGAGGTCGTCTGCGTTGAACAGAACGCTGAGGACTGGGTGAAGAACCACTTCTTTGAGGCTTTTGAGCTTATAGTGGACGAGGGCGAGGCGGCCTTTTATCAAGAACGCTTCTCCAAACGTCTTAACTTTGTTTGCCTCAGAGAAGAGGCTTAGAAGGCCGGGCGGCCTTCTCCTAAGCTGGACGTCACGCCAACTACCTCAGAAGAGGAGGAAAACGAAGAAGTGGCGGCCAGCAAAGATGGTGAGGCTGAGAGCAAGGAGACGCCTGCTGAGGATGTGTCCCTTGCCGCCGTTCAAGAGCCTAGCTAGGCCAGAGTCCAGCTTCTACCCCAGCTGCCCCTTGATTCCAGCTCTTTTTGCCTTGTTTTTGTTAATTTTTATTTTCTTTATCCGCCGCCTTTTCGTGCGGTTTAATGTAAAATACTTTAACGCCCTTTGAGCGGTCTTTTTATTAATCCAAGTTTTTATATCATGCTTCATACTTTGCAAATTTTACACTTGACATGTTTTTTCTT